CTCTTGGAGTTGGGATGAGTGTCAAAGGTCACTTGGTCTAACTCTGTGCCCAGTGCTAGAATATCTTACGCAGCCTGTCAGCTTCTTCCAAAATGCATCCAAGTTTGAGGAACTCACATTACACACTAAGGCAGTGCACACTGCCTTAGGACAGGTCTCTATTTGAAATGTCTTCCTGTAGCTGAATCAAGTTTACCTCCAAGTAGCTATTCAATTCTGGTCTTCGTTAGGGAATGAGCTTAACCAGCATTCATCTTCTACTTCCAGGAAACAGTCACAAATTCATGAAAATAATTCTTAAGACAAAAATACAAGTTTTGCACAAGCATAAGAGAAAGTCTATGATAGCAAAAAGGCTAGTAGGTAGAAGAGGAGTGGACTTTTCTGCATAGGCCTGAAAGGCAAAGTCAGATTACAGATTCAGCATATAGAAGGTTTACAGACAGCCCCCAAAACTCTAGTTGTAAGCATACTAGGAAATGTATGGCATTCTTGTGGAATGTAGAGGGAACATTGCTTTGTCAGAGTTCATACTCACACCAGGAAGATAAGAAGGAATGGAGGCATTTGGTGAAACTGAAGCTTGGTCCAGATTTAGCAGGTCTTGGGTGATGGGCAGCACCACCAGTCTCAGTGGGGGGAACTGAAGCCAAAGGCCTTGGCTTCTCCCTAAAAGTTTCTACTTATACCAGAAAGAAAGCTTCAAGCTTCTGCATCAGGTCTGGGTTGATCTCCCTCATGAAAACTTCAGTCAGTCATTTTGGAAGTCCTGGACATTCTTGGATGGGATATTGGCTGAGAAACAAACACAGAGGGAATCTGGGACAGTCCCCCAATATGTGGAAAAAGAAGGAGAAATACAGAAAAAAATTCTCCCTTCCACATAAGGGAGGAAGCAAATCAAGACAACAGGTTCCAAACAGATGAAGGGGGCCTTGTCACTATAGCAACAAGCCTAATGATTCTGAAAGATGAGTTATTTATTTTTCTTTTCACCTGTCACTCTTCTCAGTACTGTCACTTTCTTTGTCTGTTCCTGGTGGGAGACAAGTTGTGACTTTTTCACTCCCACCAACAAGCTGCCTAGATTTTGGGGACTGCGGCTACTATGGGATAGGAGGAGAATGGGGTACCCAAAGGGGTGCTCAGAAGACTCAAAGCCAATCCCAACTCTTCCCTTTCTCCAGTCATAGCTGCAAAGCTTATAGATTGCCTATGAAGTGTGAGCAGTCCAAAAGGAAGGACCCTCTTCTGTGAACAGTGGGTCAGAATCAAAGCCCTGGTCTTCAAATAAAAGAGATTTTTGTCTGTGCCCTAGGATAGCCCATTGTATTCCAACAGAGTAAGTTGAAGAACATCAGCAATGGCAACAGAGCAGAACACCTTAGGCTTCCTTAGAAAGATCTAAATTCTAAGCTGTCAAAAAAGCTAATCATGGGCTAGGAACATAGCTCAGTGGCAGAGCACATGCCTAGCACGCACAAGGCCCTATGTTTGAACCCCATCATTGTCAAGAATAAAAAACTAATGGCACACATAAAGGAATAGCAAAGCCAAAACTTGTCTAAATGTAAACTTCTCACTATCTGAACTAGGATGACACATGAAACTTAAGAGTTTTTGGTACATCCAGTGTTGGTGGTGACAGGGCCCAAATCCCCTCCTGATTGCAGAAGTCTCCCCTAATCATTGCTGCTTCAGAATTGTGTCAGCATAACCAAAACTCAGTGACACTGTGTGTCCTGAAAGGAATAGAGTTTCCATACCATCTACTTGCTCTCTTTGTGTGGGATATGTCCTCTCCCTCACATTGCTATCTCCCTGGGCCAGAGACCTCCTTCAAAAGAGAGGGATGAGCCAGGCATGGTGGTGCATGCCTGAAATCCCAGCATTTGAGAGTCTAAAACAGGAAAGTTGCAAGTTTAAGGCCAGCCTGAGCCACATGGCAAGATCAGTCTCACCATACAAGGGTTTGGGATATAGCTCAATGGTAGAGTGCTTGCCTAGCAAGTCCAAGGCCCTAGGTTCAATCACCAACAATGGGAAAAAAAAGAAGTGAGGGAGTAAGGGGTGTTCCCTACCTCCAGACACAATCAGGTGTTCAGTCATTAGACCCTCCTTTTTCTGCAGTTATACAGAGCATGCCTATTCCCACCTCCACCTCCACAGGTGCTAGTCACTGTGCCAATTGAGGCATGCATTTCATTTTAATTTAATGAGACTTGTACCTGAACAAACAATATAAATAAATGTGTTAGAGCTACCTCATCTGGGGATGAGTGTTCTTCTAAGACTTAAAGACTTTAGCAATACAGGCAGCCACCAAGGGGCTTTAGATAATGCATATGAAGATCTGGCCCTACTTCCTTCCCAGAGAGACTATAAGTGGACACTCCACCTTCTACAGCCAGAGAGCCAGACACCCTCATAAGATCTTTGAAAAGAATAACAGAAACAGATGTCCATCACTCCCTTATCTTTGAAGGCTATCCACAACCAAAGTGAACTTGGGAAAGACTATGAAGAAGAAAATAGCTTTGGTGACTGAAGAGGCAAAGTGTGCTTCAGCTATTGCAAGACTGATCAGCTTGTGAAGTCAGCAGCCTCCAACCTTCCTGTCTACCACCCTTCCCATCCACTCCCTCTGAGAATCACTGTCAACCTCTCTTTGCTAAGGTGTGAGCTGATCATACATTAAGATGCTCCCCACCTCACCCCATCCCTGCCCCTGTCCAAACAAAAGTTTTATAGTACTTTCTGTTAAGGACTCTAAAGAATTACTCTCAACAGAAAGAATTACATAGCTCCTGAACAACAAACAGGGAGATATTCTAAGCATTCTGAAGAATCACGGGAAGTAGAAATTTACTTGATCAGTCAACTCTTAAACCAAACACTAAATTCATTTTTGCACATTTCTCTTATCAGGCCATTATTCCAGAGCAGGAGAAATTTTCCTCTTTGAATCCTTTGAATAATCATTTCCAGTGTTTCCAAAGCCAGGCTCTGCCTTGCCAAATGTAACCGATATACAGAGCCATCTGCTTTAGTAATACAGGCAGCCACCAAGGGAGTGTGCTTTAGATAATCCTGTGGTTCTGCTGGCCAACGCTGCTTCTGGGGTGGAAAAGCATGCTGCTATTTATCAGCTGCAGTCCCCAAGCTCAGCTCTTCTGAATCCTGTACAATGCACCAAGCAGAACTAGGACAATGGCCACTGCCTTGGTAAATAAGAGGTTCCTTTCCACATATCCGCAGTATAATAGGCAGATGTCAGAAGAGTTTCTAAGGGCACGCAATTCACCCTTTTTATGACTCACCTATATCCCCACCTGAAAGGTAACACAGGTGACAAAATCACACATTCTATCCAGTGCCACCAACCAGTCAATGATGCTGTACACCTGTGCCAGTTGAGGCATGCATTTGATTTTAATTTAATGAGACTTGTACCTGAATAAACAATATACACAAAGGTGTTAGAGCTATCATAACATCTGGGAATGAGTGTTCTTCCAAGACTTAGAGATGTTCTTTGGCCTGTGCCAAGAATTTGGTTGAGCAGCTCCCCCTCTTCCTGAGCCATTGTCTTCCATAATGGCCACTAGTTTTGTTGGTTGCTCTCACCACTTGGGAAGATGGTGTTTTTTTACTTGCTTGCTTTTGACACAACAGAACCCAGGGATGATCTTTACAAACCAATGGTCTTCCTTCCTCAGGCTCCCCACAGGGAGTACTATTGCCTCTTGTTGGACATTAATATTTGTCCCCAGGCTTCTCAGAATTAAGCACACAGCTCCAAAGTCAGTGCAATACCTTCCACTATAGGCAACAGAGATTTCTAAATTCAGCCACCCAAGTCTGCCTACAGTGTTTATTAGCAAGCACCTCCAACAAAAAAAATGACACAATTAAGCATAATTATTAGGATTTAATAGAGTCATTTTTCCATCTTAGCACCTGTCTACTATTGCAAACCCCCAGGTTATTACCCTACACTGGGACTCAGAGCAGTAAGTTAAAGTTATACATCACTGAGTCTTTATTATGTGTACAATAGCTGTCTTATTAAATTGAAATCAAATGCACATCTAGGGGAAAGTTCATTTTAAGTACCAACTCTCAGAAAAACACCTGCAATCATGAACAATGAGCAAGGCCAATGTGTTGCTGAGCAGCAGAGGGGATGGGGGCAGACATGGAGCTAAAAAGGAAGGGACTCTGTTTTCTGAAAGAATGGGCTAAACTCTAGGGCTCAGATCTTACAAGAGCTTCCCTGAATTTCATGTGGCATCTCCCATCCTGGATAAGACATGAAGGAAGGGGGAAATATAATTGCAAATTCAACACAACTGGAATATTTGGAAATTTTATATATACACAGATACACATACATTTTCCTCTTGGGGACTATTTGACACTCAGCCAATGAAAAAACATCCTTTCCAATTATTGTGAATGTGCAGGAGGGTGTGGGGTTGAGTGGATGTGTGTAAATATGCTGTTGCTTGGATGGCTTTAGCCTCTTCACTCACTTTGCTCTCTCCCCTACCCTCCTTTCCCTCCACCTTTTAGGACAAGACCAGTGCTTTGAGCCTCAGCAATGTGGCAGGTGTGTTCTACATCCTGATTGGAGGACTTGGACTAGCCATGCTGGTTGCCTTAATCGAGTTCTGCTACAAGTCCCGCAGTGAATCCAAGCGGATGAAGGTGGCATCATTTTCCTAGGGCTTTTCCTAGCCTGTTCTATGTGCAGCTGGGTTTCTGAGTCTCTTTGTAGAAAGGGTGGGAATGATGAGGTCAGGGAGCAGGAAGACATTAGGAGGAAAGTGACAGGAACAGAGACAGATGTGAGAAAGGAAAGAAGACGAGATGTGTCAGGGAAACATAGGGCCAAAAATAACAACTACTTCAGCCAGATGAAGCTTTGGAGTTTGCGTGGACAGTCAGCACAGTGAGAGGCAAGAGTGACTGCTGCCAAAGCTGATCTTCCTGAAGTTGTGTCCATAGAAGTAAAGCTCCCTGAGTAGGAGAAAGTAGGTCCACCTTCTGCTCTTGAGCATCTTGCTGTGCTCAGGGAATTGAGTCATTCCTCACCTCCACATTGTGAGACAGACTTTGGCAAAGAGGATCATGCACAGAGAAACATAAGCAGATGAATCAGACGAACCAAACCACATCAAAAATGCTGCACACAACAGGAAAAAGCAAGGCCATTGTTAAAAATAGAAAGTTCCCAGGTGGGAAAGAAAACAGACTAAAGTATACAACAAAACTAATCACTAAAAGCAACAGAAAATAGATGTAACCAGATGTGGTGGCCCATGCCTGTATTCCAGCTCGCTACTCAGGAGGCAGAGAATGGGAGGATAGAAGTTTGAAGGCATACCTGTTGTGGCAGTATAGTCAGAGGAGAAACCAAGCAACACTCAGAGGAGTGGAGAACTCAGATTTTAATTTTAGCTAGTGGGCATGTCCCTGTGTCTGAGCCCTGAACAAAGGATTCACAAGATATTTAAAAGGCAGTGCAGGGTATCAGGTTACAAGGAATGTGCTCTCCCATAAAGTAGGGCCAGTAGTGGGTTAGAGACCTAAGATTTAGATAAGAACAGCAGGGGAGGCCTGCTTTGGAAAGTTTATTTACAAGTGGAGACAGAGGAAGGCAGGAATGGGTGCTTATCTCTGCATGGTGCCTTTCATCTCGGTCCCAAACTTTTGCATGGCTCTAATGGGCAAATCCTCACAGCTCTGTCCAAGGTTACAGCTTTTAATTGACAGTTTACCATGTTTTACAACCCTGTTTCAAGGCTATCTTCCTCTTCATTCCCCCCTTTTGATGCTTTTTCCACTTGTGGACAAGCATCAACACTAGACTTTAGAAATCTTATAAGGTTTTTCTTGTCCCAAAGACCTATATTGTGTTACCAGGAGCTGTAACTTTATCACCTCCATTTGCAAGCTGATGAAGTTAGTTATGGCGTTAAGAAGGCACATACAAACACAAGTGCCAACGGAAGCATAAGGAGAGGCCAGATAATGGAGTCAGCCGTATCTCTGACTATTTCTATCTGCTTTACATAAAACAACACTCTGTGTTTGAGAAAAGTCAAAGCCCTTCTTCTTGGCAGTGAGTAAATCCAACCTACTCTCGTTTTGGAGGACCACTGATGTTAGAGAGTTCAGCTGGTCCTGCATGGTCACTATAGACCTAGCCACTTGTTCTATGTCATTTGTTAGGTCCATAGATAATTGATTATAGTAGGCGACTGATGAGGCAGTCCCTCCTATGCCTGTTCCTTTCCCAGTCATTATCCCCAGTCCGATTAATAAAGGTACGAATTGGATAGCTCTCTTCGACCACACATGAGCCATTAAAGGTGCGGGTGTCTGATTGTTAGGCACTATGTTTATCTGGGGTGAGGAATGCTAATGTGCAAATGCCCTTCCAGTCAGCTGGCAAGTACTGAAAAGCAAGGGTCCCTCAGACAAGGAAGAATCTCAGGCTGGTGCACCATAGCCTGTCAACTGTACATCTAATGGCGGTAGCTGTACAGTTGAGATTCCAAGTTAAGGTTTCCTGTCCTAGAAGGAAGCCTTAACGGGGGTCATGGTGGTGGCAGATCAATGTCTTTTACTGGCCCAGGTCCACCTAGGTAATCACGTCTGGGTGGCCTCTCTAGATCTGTGGCTCTCCCTTTAGTAAACTGATATGGGAGTGGGGTAGAAGGGTAGAGTGGCACAAGGAGGTTTATTTCCTCCACTGTTTTATGACTCTAAGGTGTCCCTGTCTTTCTCCCAGCAATCCATATGCCCTATAATGTCTTTGTTTTTGTAACCCAGTTAGGCTATCAGCTTTCTTTATAGTAAATCATCCCTCTCCTGGTGCATTCAGAGATTGATATGCTGCACACGAGTGACAGATACTGATAAAAGGTGAAGGCATACCTCAGTTTTCCCTGGAAGGAAAGCGGCTTTATGCAGGCTGAGCAGTCATCCCAGCCTCCCAATTGGACAACCTCAAAATGTAGCAGAGTCAGAAGGCAATAACACATCAGAGACCTCATGCCTGAGACTGGAGTCTGGGCTACAGACGACACCAAACAGCAGTAAGGCTTCCTACTATGAGGAGATTACAGGAGGCCAGCAGTAATCCCTGGTTTATATTCCAATCTTGGGGAGCAGTGACAGCCAGTCCTAGTGTAAACAGATTGCACAATGCTAATCAGCAGGATAAGGTATGGGTGACAGAGAAGAGGATACATCTGTGTCCTGGTGAATGAATCCTCAGGCTTCTGCAGTGTGTTGACCAACCGGCTTCTGGGATGTGGCTGGGGCAGGGCTGGAGATCTCTCCAGTGATGGCATGCTGTTGTGAAGTTCTCTGGAACCTTAATCTGAGGGGTGTTAGTTGAATCACGGAGAGCTTGTCAGACATTGGGCTCTGCAGGGGCAGCTGTCCTTTTATCCAGGAGTGATGAGTCCCGGGAGTGACACCTGTAACTTCAACAGCCCTAGGAGCTGCCAACATTACTAGATGGGGACCCGTACAACTGGGTTGGAGTAGTTTCTTTTTAATTTTTTATGTATCATATCTCTCTCTTTTTTTTTAACTGAGTAGAATTACCTTGGCAACAATATACTGTCAGTATATATATATATCCAAGAAAATCTTTTTTTTTAAAGTTAAAAACACCATCTTAAAGTATTAAAGGACATGTTTAGATCCAGTAAAAATAGTTATTTTGTCTCTATTTAAGTAGAAGACCCTGTCTAAAAATGTGAGTATGTGTCTGGAAAAGCTTTAATGTCAGATAGCCACACATGCATAAGAACCATTTCTTTAATCCTCTTGGCCTTGGTTATCTTTGAGAGGTCTGGCACCAATGACTCCATTGGAACTTTGATGGCATTCCCCCCTTTGTCTCCAAATTGTTAGTCTCTTCTGAAGATCCGTCTTCCATCCAAGTACTAACCAGGCCTGACCCTGTTTAGCTTCCAAGATCAGACAAGATCAGGTGCATTCAGGGTGGTATGGCTGCAGACTGAAGATCTTTCTTGATTGGCTGCTTTTTCCTGGATTCTGTTTGTTTGGTTTCAGTCCCAAGTTGGGAGGGAATAACGAGCAGATCAGGTGGGAGTCAGTGCCAACTAGACCCTTTTGGCCAAATTTAAGCAACAAAGAGGCTTAGAAGGAATGGCTCTTAGGCAGTGGTCTTTTAGACAAGGACAACACAAAACAAAATCTAACAAAAGCAGATGTCAAAGTAGTTAGCTTGGTTGACACATAAGCACTTATTAGAGTCATTTTTATGGACTTGATTATAAATGTCCCAGGAGGATCAGAACTGAAATGACAAAAACTTAAAAGAGCCATGGTTAAAATTTTGATGTACAATTTAGCAACTAACAAAGCAGTACATCAGTACCACTAACTTTATGTTACCATGTTTATCTAAATTTTGTATTGTAGGAGGCTTGATATACTTAAAAAAATACACATATTTAATACACAGGAACCAGCAATAGCATCACAACTCTATAGAAGTTAATACACATATTAATTTAGTTATTGCTCTGGAAGTAAAACTTTAGATTTTTATCAGTTGTAGGGGAAAGAACAGTTTTAGCAAACCCAAACAGCCCAGTCACAAACTAGCATAGGGTACAAACTCATCCAAGACAACAGTTGTTTAACCATGAGGTCATCTAGAAAGTTTTACATAACTGTTAGAAAATAAGAGGCATGGAATAGGCACAGAGACAGCTGAAACACTGGTACAGGGTTTATTATTTAGGCAGGAGCCCTATGGAGGGGGACCCCAGCAAGACAGCAAGAGCCCATTGCCATATACAGGCTTGGGCTAGACATAGGAGGCTAGTGGAAAAGTACCAGGAAAGTCACTGTCTGCCCAGCTGTCCTGGCATATATCCAGGATGACAAAGGTGAGCCAGCTGCAAGGGAGAGGGTCTAGTCCTAACATGGCTGTCCTCATTGTTAACCCCAACATAAACCAACTCTTAAATGAACATGACTCAGTTACCTTAGTAGTCAAAACCCTGACAAAAATCACCAGAGAACACAGGTAAATATTTATGGGGACTAAGTGTAAAGTTAGGAAATATAGTGGCCAAGAACCATGGCTCAGATGTTGATAAGCGATCACATCCCAGATTGTTGACATTAACAGATGGCTCTTGACATATAGCAGAATCCCATCAATCTGCAGTCAATGGAATCCCCCCTAAAATAACAGCTCCAATCTGGTCATCTCAGGGAAAAATTCCCTCCACCTGCCATGTGGAAGGAGTAGGACTAATACCTCTACTCTTTTATGTCTAATAAAAACTGGAGATCTTGACTTCCACTGTAGTGCTCCTTTTGGAGTTTTTATTTATTTATTTACTTACTTTTCTCCTATCTGGAGGGTGCACTTTGGCTTTACATAAGTAAATCTGTCTTAACCTTCATATCAGTGCAGCAGTACTCCCTGTGTTCAGCTGCCTCTTGTCTCTCTTTGTTTTAATAAACTCTTGTTATCTTGACAAATTTATGGATTAACCTGTAGTATCAAAATTTCTGAGTTATCTTGACAAAACAAAACCATTATAAGACAATTTTTTTGTAAATGTTATCTAAACCAATATAATATTTTTAAGGTAGCCTTGTTGTTACAAGCTTAGAGACTTAAGTTTTAGTTTAACATCAGTACA